CTCTCACAGGGGTCGCCTAAGACCATCGGAAAACACATGTATAATTACATATTGTTTTTGTGATTAATCACTATGCTTTAATTATGTTCAATTTGTAACAATGAAAACACATCCTGCATATCAGATATTTACATTACGATTCATAACAGTAGCAAAATTATAGTTACAAAGTAGCAACAAAAATAATTTTATGGTTGGGGTCACCACAACATGAGGAACTGTATTAAAGGGCCGTGGCATTAGGAAGGTTGAGAACCACTGTCCTAGAGACGTGGCCTTACGCTGCTAGAAGCCTTGCTAGATTTTGGTTGTCTCTTGATGCAGAAGTTTGGACAGAGTCCTTATGTGCCAAAGGTTGGTTCTGCAATTCTCACAAGTACATGGGGATCCAATATATCAATCAGTTTTTTCTATGAGTAAAATACACTTTTATGTGTATTTTGAAAGTTTTATTAATAAAAACTTATTTTTAAATGTATATTCCTGTTGAATTAGTAATTCCTCTCTTTTTTTTAAGTAATTCCTCTTAAAGGAATGTATACTAAGGTAATAATCAGGAATTTGGTCAAAGATTTTTATGTGTGAGGATATTCATCAAAGCAGTGATAGAGAAAAATTGGTAACAAATGTTTCCAACATTAAAAGATTTATAAATAAATTTATATCCATTAGCCTATTAGATTGTCAGAAATTCAAAAGCATCAAGAGCCAATGATTGATAAGGTTTTGGAAGCAGGTATCCATAAATTGCTGGAGTGCTGACCCCATGGAGAACAGTTTGGCAATCTTAACAAAATTACTAATCCATTTACCTTATAACCTAATACTTCCACTTCTGGTAGTATATTCTGCACTGATATGTTTACATATATGAAATTGTTATGTACAAGGTTATTCATTACATTATGATTTATAGTAGCAAAAGATTGGAGACAATAGAGGACTAATTGAAAAAATTGTAGAGTTTATACAGAGGATTACTATACAGCCAGAAAAAGGATGAGGAACCTCATATCTATGCATTCAATATGGTAGCCACTAAGCTATACATGGCTATTTAAATTTGAATTAATTAAAATAAATAAATTTTAAATTTAATTCTTTGGTTGCACTAGCCACATTTTTTAAAAATTCATTCTCTTTAAAAAAAAAATCTTTATTGTTGAAAGTATTACGTATGTCCCCCTTTCTCCCCCATTGACCTCTTCTAGCACGCCCTCACCTCTGGCCTTCACACCTATTGTCTGTGTTCATGGATTATACATATATGCATACAAGTTCTTTAGTTGATTCCTTCTTACCCATCCACCCTCCACTGCCTTCTCTCTGAGATTCCACAGTCTGTTCCAGACTTCTGTATCTCTGGATCTATTTTGTACATCAGTTTATTTTGTTTGTTAGATGCTACATATGAGTGAGATCATATGATACTTGTCTTTCTCTAACTGTGCACTAGCCATATTTAAAAGTGCTCAGTAGCCACATGTGGCTAGCAGCTACCCAATTGGACAGCACAGATATAGAACATTTCCATCAGTGCAGAAAATTCTGTTGGACAATGCTGCTTTATATAGTAAGTATAAAAATATCTCTAAGATACCTATATTACTTTCATAATAAAGACACCTAAAGATGGAAAATATTACATAAAACAAAATTGAGGTTCTTTGTGAAAGATTAAAATTTGAGTTCCAAATACATATGGAATCTTTTCACAGATATTTTTTTTCTTTGAATTAGTACCTGCCCTATTTTCTCCTGTCAAGTTACCATTTTCAGATGTATCACTATGATGCCAGATAAATTACATATTATGGAATAAATTCACTTGGTTGCAATTGTTAAGGCAAATACAGCAGGTCCTTGGGTTATGTCGGAGATCCGTTCCTACGGCATGACGTGACGCGATTTTCGCCGTAAGTCAGAACCCACCTATATAAGCACCTACGTCACTCACATGGAGCACATATACAGCAGTAATGAAGTGAAACAGTAAACAAAATTTAAAAGAAAGATAACAATTCCTGACCTTTACTTGTGGTAAATAAATAATAAAAAACATAAAGCACATATGTACATATGTCGAAATGATGGAACTTTTTTTATATATAAATAAATGGGAGATGACAACGTAACCACGAAACGATGTACGTTGAGTCCAAAGTAACCCAAGGACTGTCTGTACAGTATAAAGGATTATTGATGAATGAATGATTTTTTTACTAGTCTTTACTAGTCTTTTTGCATGCAAAAGGCTTGAATCAGGCATGCCATGTAACCTTCCTCACCTATTTATTGAGTGCATGCTCTAAATAACTCTAAATGTTACAGCTATAATCACAGCTCTCTGGAATATTCTGAAATTAGGTTGTGATTTAAGAAGTTACTTGATCTTTGTCCCAGTGCCTGGCACAAAGCTTTTAAAACCTTTGGAAATCCTGATAATAGTATCTTTGGTGTGCTAATGAAATGACCCTTGGTGAGGGGCTCCTAGTTTCAGTATGGGGCCTGCTCGCCAGAAAGACTAAACCCTGATAGGAAACTTAAAACTTTGTCTTACATTCCAGCCTCCAAGGAGAACTTAACCTTTGGCGCATAGGAACTCTGTCCAAGGAGAGAATGGCTAGAGATTCAGATAATCACCAGTGGGCAGTGATTTAATCAGTCATGCTTATGTAAAAACCTCTAAACATTAGGGTTCTGAAAGCTTCCTGGTTGGTGAACACCTAGAAGTGCTAGGAGAGAGGCATTCATGGGGAGGGCATGCCATGCCCCTACCCACTTACCTTACCCTATGCATCACTTTCATTTGGCTGTTCTTGAGTTTTATCTTTTACTAGAGGCCCAGTGCACGAATTCATGTATCAGTGGGGTCCCTCAGCTTGGCCTGAGGGATCGGGCCGAAACCGGCTCTCTGACATCCCCCGAGGGGTCCCAGATTGCAAGAGGGTGCAGGCCAGGTCAAGGGTCCCCACCTGTGCACAGTTGGGGCTGGGGAGGGACACGGGAGGTTGGCTAGCAGAGAGGGAACATGGGAGGGCATGTCTGGCCCATCTCGCTCAGTCCAGATCAGTTGGACCCCAGCAGCAAGCTAACCTACCGGTCGGAGTGTCTGCCCCCTGGTAGTCAGTGCACGTCATAGTGACTGGTCAACTGGTTGAATCTCTGCCTCCTGGTGGTCAGTGCATGTCATAGCAAGTGGTTGAGAGGCCTTATCATATCATTAGCATTTTACGCTTTGATTGGTTGAACAGCCAACTGGTTGACCAGACACTTAGCGTATTAGGCTTTTATTATATAGGATTATAAACTGTAATAGTAATTAAAGTGTTTTCCTGAGTTCTGTGAGTCTTTCTACAAATTAATCAAACCTGAGGGAGTAAGTTGTGGGAACCCCAGGCTAGGTCAGAAGTATGGATACCAGGGATTTGTATTTTACATCTGAAATGAGGAAAGTCTTGTGGGACTGAGCTCTTTAATTTGTGGGATATGACCCCAGGTAGGTAATGTCAAAATTGAACTGAATTAATTATTGGACACCCAACTGGAGAAGTGCTAGAAAAAAAACACCACATATTTGATGTCTGGAGGACAAAGAGAAACCTTTGAGGCATATCTTTATATGGCTGCAGAATATAGTATACTCAGAGCCTGGCTTATTTTTGTTTTATCTAAGAAGAAAATAATAGGAACTAATTACCACCTTAATGTGCATTGTTATTTTTTTAAATGGGGATTTGTACTATAAATTTGAGATACTAATAAGTAATTAATTTTAAACAGATCTATAAAAAATGAGGAATTTCCCCCTCTGGAAAATAAAGCTGCAGACTTTAGAGAAAAAGAATCATCTTTGAATTTATCTTACAAAAGTCATGACTGCTCTAGTACCTGTCTGATGAAAATGCTACTAACCTTCAAGGGAGAAAACCCTCTGCAGCTACCAATTACGTGCCACTTCCAAAGACGACATGCAAAGACAAACTCTCATTCTTCAGCGCTCCACGTGAGTTATAAAACCCCTTGTGGAAGGAGTCTACGAAACATGGAGGAAGTTTTTCGTTACCTGCTTGAGACAGAGTGTAACTTTTTATTTACAGATAACTTTTCCTTTAATACCTATGTTCAGTTGACTCGGAATTACCCAAAGCAAGAAGAAATTGTTTCTGTTCTGGATATTAGCAATGGAGTGGAATTGGTGCCCATTTCTTTCTGTAATGAAATTGACAGTAGAAAGCTTCCACACTTTAAGTACAGAAAGACTATGTGGCCACGAGCATATTATCTAAACAGCTTTTCCAACATGTTTACTGATTCATGTGACTGTTCTGAGGGCTGCATAGACATGTGAGTAGAATAACGACATTTCAAAAAATCTTCTGAATGTTAAAGGTACTTATTAAGTCCTGCAATGTATCAGTTTGTCTATCTAAAACTGTTGACCAAGAATCTAAAATGAGAAATGCACTGTCTCACTAGCAATGGGAAAGAAAATTCTTTACCAGTTATAGTTTAGTGGGGCCTTGACTTACAAGTGTCCCAACTAACGAGTTTTTCGAGATACGAGCCGTCTCTCGGCCGATTTTTTGCTTTGAGTTGCGTGCTAAAATTCGGGTTACGAGCCAGCTTCAAATACCCCATTGCTAGTTGGTGCAGCGAATGTCACAGCATCAGCCCAGCATCACAAGTCTCACTCATTCACTTTTTGATTTGACATACGAGTAATTTAGTTACAAGCTCCGTCACGGAACGAATTAAACTTGTAAGTCAAGACTCCACTGCAACTTGAAAATTATTTTCTCAAGGATGAGTATTTTCTTTAAGCTAGTATCATAATCATAATTACAGCTAATGCCATGTAACAGTGCCAGACACTGTGACAATTGTTTTTACATACATTTTCTTATTTAATTCTCACGAAAGAATTTTCATGTCCCAGATGAGGAAATTGAGAAACCAATTCTGAGATCATAGGGCAAACAAATTAAAGAGCTACAATATTAACTCATGCTTTTAACCACTATATGTTATGTTTTACTTTTTTTTTTTAAATATATTTTACTGATTTTTTACAGAGAGGAAGGGAGAGGGATAGAGAGCTAGAAACATCAATGGGAGAGAAACATTGATCAGCTACCTCCTGCACACCCCCTACTGGGGATGTGCCCGCAACCAAGGTACATGCCCTTGACCGGAATCAAACCTGGGACTCTTCAGTCCACAGGCCGACGCTCTAAGCCACTGAGCCAAACTGGTCAGGGTGTTATGTTTTACTTTTACAAACCATTTCCTTGCAATTTTTTAGGAAGCTAATGGTGCTTATAATTAGTACTCTCTTGATCATAACATTGACATTCCATTAAAAAAAATGAAGACATGTTCTGATATTTTAGGACTTTGAAATCATTTTGTTTTATGGGTGTGTAATATGATTTTGTGGTTATGCATATATAAAATGGAATGCATTTTATGTACATTTAATTTAATGCAAGTATACCTTCCTGTACTAGGCAAAATAATGACATGAGAGATAAAAAAAATTAATAATATGGATAGTAATTTTCACCATCCTGTCAGTTGGAATGTGAGAAGAGATGTATAAATTTTACAAAAGCCATGTAAGATTTTGACTCCGTTCCTTTAGGCCTGTCATAGAGGAAACCTGTCATTGTGCTTTTTTAATTTTTATTTTTAAATGCATTTTTTATTGTTGATAGTATTATAGATATCTCCTGTTTCCCCCCTTTCCCTCCCTCTACCCAACTCCTACCACCCACCAGGTCTTCACTACCCTATTGCCTGTGTCCATGGGCTATGCATATAAGTATGTAAGTTCTTTGGTTTCTCTGTCCTCGTCCCCCCGACCCCACATAGAGGTATGTCAGTCTGTTCCATGCCTCCCTGCTTCGGGTCATATTATTGATCAGTTCATTTTGTTCATTAGATTCCACAAATAAGTGAGATCATGTGATATTTGTCTTTCTCGGTTTGGCTTATTTCACTTAGCATAATATTTTCCAGGTCCGTCCATGCTGTCCCAAAGGGTAAGAGATCCCTGCAGAGTATTACAGGTGCATAGTATTCTATAGTGTAAATGTCTCATAGCTTTTTTAAAAAATTCTTTATTGTTTAAAGTATTACATAAGTTCCCATAGCTTTTTTATCCATTTATTTACTGATGGGCACTTGAGCTGTTTCCAAATCTTAGCTATTGTAAAGGATGCTGCTATGAACATAGGGGTGCATATATTCTTTCTGATTGATGTTTTGGGGGTTTTAGGATATATTCCAAGAAGTGAAATCATTGGATCAAAACAAAGTTCCATTTTTAATTTTTTTTAGGAAACTCCATACTATTTTCCATAGTGGCTGCACCAATCTGCAGTCCCACCAGCAGTGTACTAGAGTTCCCTTTTCTCCACATCCTCACCAGCACTTGTTGTTTGTTGGGGTTTTTTTTTAATGATAGACATTCTGACAGGTGTGAAGTGATATCTCATTGTGGTTTTAATTTGTATTTCTCTGATGATTAGTGACTTTGAGCATTTTTTCATGTGTCTCTTGGCTATTTGTATGTCCTCTTTGGAGAAATGTCTATTCAGGTCTTCTGCCCATTTTTTAATTGGATTGTTTGTCTTTGTTGCGTTGTATGAGTACCTAATATATTTTGGAAATTAACTCCTTATCAGATGTATCATCTCCAAATATGTTCTCCTACTCAGTGGGTTCCCTTTTCAATTTGGTGGTGTTTTCTTTTGTTGTGCAAAATCCTTTTATTTTGATGTAGTCCCATTTGTTTATTTTCTCCTTAGTTTCCTTTGCCCTAGGACCGTAGTCGGCAAACCGTGGCTCGTGAACCACATGCGGCTCTTTGGCCCCTTGAGTGTGGCTATTCCACAAAATACCGACTTCTGTGCATGGGCCATGAAGTTTCAATCGCACTGTACATGCACACCCGCACGTGGTATTTTGTGAAAGAGCCACACTCAAGGGGCCAAAGAGCCACATGTGGCTCACAAGCCGCGGTTTGCCGAGCCGCAGTTTGCCGATCACTGCCTAGGACAGTGATGGTGAACCTTTTGAGCTCAGCGTGTCAGCATTTGGAAAAACCCTAACTTAACTCTGGTGCCGTGTCACATATAGAAATTTTTTGATATTTGCAATCATAGTAAAGCAAAGACTTATATTTTTGATATTTATTTTATATATTTAAATGCCATTTAACAAAGAAAAATCAACCAAAAAAAATGAGTTTGCGTGTCATAGGTTCACCATCACTGGCCTACGAGATGTATCCATAAACATATTGCTACATGAGATGTCATGAGATTTTCCTGCCTATGTTTTCTTCTAAGATTTTTATGGTGTCATGCCTTATATTTAAGTCTTTTATCTACCTTGAGTTTATTATTTTGTATGGTGTAAGTTGGTGGTCTTCTTTTGCATGTGTCTGTCCAGTTTTCCCAGCACCATTTATTGAAGAGACTGTCTTTACTTCATTGTATGTTCTGGCCTCTTTTGTTAAATATTAACTGACCATATATGGTGTGGACCAATTTCTGGGGTCTCTGTTCTGACCCACTGGTCTATATACCTGCTCTTAGGCCAGTACCAGACTGTTTTGGTTATAATGGCTTTGTAGTGTAGTTTGATATCCAGTAGTGTGATCCCTCCTACTTCGTTCCTCTTTCTCAAGATTGCTGCAGCTATTCGGGTCTTTTATGGTTCCATCTACATTTTCTGAGTATTTGTTCTAATTCTGTGAAGTATACCATTGGTATTTTAATAGGGATTGCTTTGAATCTGTAGATTACTTTGGGTTTCATAGACATTTTAATGATGTTAATTCTTCCAATTCATGAACATGATATATGGTTCCATTTCTTTGTATCTTCCTCTGTTTCTTTTTTGAAAAATCTGTCCATTTCTTTGTATCTTCCTCTGTTTCTTTTTTGAATGTTCTGTAGTTTTCTAATTACAGGTCTTTTACCTCCTTGGTTAAGTTTATACCTAGGTATCTTATTTTTTTGTTGTTAAAATGGTAAATGGAATTGCTTTTTAGTTTCTTTTTCTGAGAGTCCATTATTGGTGTATAAAAATGCCATCTATTTGTGGATGTTGATTTTGTATCCTGCTACCTTGCCGAATTTATTTATTAATTCTAGTAGTTTCCTGGTGGAGTCTTTAGGGTTTTCTATGTACAATATCATGTAATCCGTGAACAATGACAGTTTTGCTTCCTCTTTTCCAATTTGGATTCCTTTTATCTCTTCTTCTTGTCTGATTGCTGTGGCTAGGACTTCCAGTACTATGAATAAGAATGATGAAAGTGGGCATCTTTGTCTTGTCCCTGTTCTTAAGGAAAAAGCTTTTAGTTTTTGCCCATTGAGTATTATGTTGGCGGTAGGTTTGTCATACATGGCCTTTATTATGTTGAGGTATGATCCCTCTATTCCCACTTTACTGAGAGTTTTTATCAAAAACGGGTGCTGTATTTTGTTGAATGCTTTTTCTGTATCTATTGTTATGATCATGTGGTTTTTATCTTTCAATTTGTTTATGTGATGTATCACATTTATTGATTTGCGAATATTGTACCAGCCTTGCATCCCTGGAATAAATCCTAGTTGTTCATGGTGTATGATCTTTTTAATGTATTGCTGGATCTGATTTGATAATATTTTGTTGAAGATTTTAGCATCAGTGTTCATCCGGGATAT